GTGGGGGGTGCTGCCCTGTGGTCTCCAGCCTTTGGGAGCAGCGAGGTGTCCCTGGAGCTCTGCTCACCTTGTCCCCTTGCAGGTATGCCTACATTGAGTTTGAAGAGAAGAGCTCTGTGAAGGCTGCGGTGGAGCTGGATGAGAGCGTGTTCAGAGGTCGTGTCATTAAGGTCAGAGCTGCATGAGACCCCAGTGTAGCTCATCCATCCATCCCAGCCCCATGTCCATGGGGCTGTGCCAAACCCCAGCAGCACTGGCTGATCCACCTCCTGCCTTCCAGGTGCTGCCCAAGAGGACCAACATGCCGGGCATCAGCACGACCGACCGTGGAGGATACCGGGGCCGTTTCCAAGCCCGGGGAGGGCTCGGCCAGCGAGGAGGCTACTATGGAGGGCAGCACCCCAGGGTGAGAGGGAGGACGTACAGGTGAGCAGCCAGTCGAGGGGTTTCCTTGTGTATTTGGGTCAAGATCCCTGTGGAGTAAGATGTCCTCAGGATGGGGGTAACTGCCTCTCGTTCTGGCCCTGCTCAGCTTCTCCCACCCTGGTGTGGAGGAGAGGATGGAGGAGGGTTCTGGCGGGTGTATCCTCCTGGAGACCTGAGCTAGAAACATCTCCTTCCTGTCATGTGCTGTTAGCATCACCCAGATCTGTGGGGTGGACAGGAGCCTGGTGGCTGCTCTGCTTGGGACATGGGCACCTCAAGGGGACAGTGGGCAGCTGAGATGGGGAAGGACCAAAGGGAGCAGTTAGTGATGGCACAGCAGACCTGTCCCCACTGCTGTCCTGGTGTCCCTCACATCCCCAGCACCAGCCTGGAGCTATTTTCCAGCACACCTCCTGCTGCTCCTGCATCCAGGACCTCACTCCAGATTAGCTTCAGTGATGCCCCAGCCCCTTTGGCACTGTGGGAGGAAGCAGAGAGGAGCTTTGGGGGTGGAAGAAACACCTGGAAACTCACTGCTGTCCCCCCATCCCTGCAGGGATTTGGTGGGGGGGTGGGTATCACACTCCCAGAGCTGTGCCTGGCTTTGGGGCTAGGCTGGGTTCAGTCTGGTTTAACTTTAGGATGCTGGTTTTGTTCCTGTCTAGGGGTCGGGCAAGGCTGCTGCCTTGGTATTTTCCATACTAGGAAGGACTGGAGTGCCTTGGTGATGCCAACGGGACTGAAATGAGGAGATGGGATTGGAGAGAGTTAATACCCAAGCTAAAAAACCACCACCAACAAACAACAACAAAAAAATTCATTTTAACATGCCATCTGCCTGGCTGTGAGGATTACTGGTGAGGCAGCCACGTGCTGGGCTGTGGGAGGGAAGACTGGATCTGCTTCACCTGCACCTCGGCTGCATCCCTGCCAGTGTCCCAGGAGCGGGTCACCTCAGCTGTGTTTTCATCGAGAACAGGCTCACTCCAGAGAACATCCTGTCCTGGGAAGGGAAGAGCTTTCCCAAACCATCAGTCTCATCCTCATCCCATAGCAAAGGACTCTACTGGAGGGTTTGGTTTGGCTTTTAGCTGTCCAAATGCCCTCCACCTCACCGTGAGGGAGGACCTGTCCTGCTCTGCACATGAAGCTCCCTCAGCTTTGCCAGATTTTTCTACAAGAGCTGGATGCTGCTTTCTCTTACCCATAAGAAGACACTAAAGACCTTTCCAAAGACTCTTTTCTTCTCCAGATCAGTAGAGAAAGTCTTGGCTTGCAGCTCTAGATCTGGGGAGGTTTTCTTTCATCAGCCTTCATGATTTCAGACCTTGCACTTGGGAAGAGAAAGGAGCCTGACGATGTGTTTTGGGTCTGGTTTTCAGCTCGGTGCTGCTGTTGTACATCTAACAACCAGAGGAGGGAAAAAGCATCCCTTGCTCTTTCTCTGGAAGCCTCTTTATCTCTGTGGTGGTTAAACGAGACCTGGGTGTCTAAAAAAAAACCAAACCATTTCCCCCCTTTAATTTCAGAAGTCAACAACCTCCTTATTCCCCCTCCTGCTTCTATCCCAAAGCTACAGGGATCAAAGGGCGCTGCTGTCACATCATTTGACTTTAGCAGTAGTAATATTACAAAATCATCTCCACTGCTGTAAATTTCGTCTGATTTTTCCCTTTAATCCCATCACCATCCCCACTCCAGGTGCCTGTTTTAATCCCATCACCATTCCCACTCCAGGTGCCTGTTTGGGGATGGTGTGAGCCCAGCTGAGCTAAGAGGGTCAGGACCAAAGTGCACCACAGGAGCTGGGTAC